CAAAAATATATTAATGTCATCTGTTTGCTGATAATATTTGCTCCCTATGTGTGCCGAGCAGATTTGGTTATCACTAGAAATCTTCAATCTGGAATGTTTTAAGTGTATCCTGTAAAATTAGGGTTGGTGGACTTACGCGCTTATGTTGTGTCATCAGTGACTTATTCACTCTAAAATGAGGTTCAAGGAACTATAGCTACTTTGAAAGAAAAGAAAACAGTTTAAGTGACAAGTGTTTTTTGTAGTGAGCGATTTATAGCCCCAGAACCCTGAGATCAAAATGGTACGACTTGATGAACCATCAAGTCATTTTCAACTTGTTTTGATCTAAAAATGCCCTATAGTTCCTAATGGGTACAAGCAAGAGCAAACCGGACAATATTTGTCTGTAGGCCTTACTTTCACGAATTATTCCGCAGGGATCCTACCTTTACTACGTGACCGATTTTAGCGAATTTTTGACACCTCCTTCCCCCTATTTAGCGAACTTTTGGCCCCTCCTTCCCCCCAGTGACCTGCCGTTGTTTTTGACTTGATTCCTCCACCCCCTACTCAAAAGTCACCCTCCGCAGACAGCTGAAAATATTTACTAGTTATTTGATGAAAGAGTCGCCAAAATGCGTCACCGAGGTAGGAGCTGTCTTCTGGGAACTGCCGCAGATTGCCTTACAGCTGTTCTCGGAGATAGTAGTTTGTGATCCTACTGCTCACTTTTCCTGCCACCAAGTCGACGCGTCCTAATAACAAAGTCTGATCTGTTTGCGCGCCCGTCAACAAAGTCCGATCTTTTCGCGCGCCCGTCAACAAAGTCCGATCTGTTTGTGTGACGCTCAACAAAGTCCGATCTGTCCTCGGACGCGCTCGGGAGGCGGACGTTTGGAGCTTTGTGACAATTCTGTTTCTGTATCTTTGCTTAACATTTTCGCTCTCAGCTATTTTTCAATCTCTTAGGATCACATAGCAGTCATTACTTTGTCCGTTCGGCCTTCAGGCGGACGGTCCCTTCTTCGTACTCATATCGGGTGAAAACGTTTCAATGAGGCATGAAAACTTATTTGCGTCAAACAATGAAACAGAAACGTTTGACATACCTATTAATTCTGTACGTCTACCATGACCTTACCTTATCAAAATTAACCTTGATGTAATTCTAGCTGGGTTTGTCACGCGAAAGAAGGATAATGTTTGAAATTGTGAATGTTAGTGAGTAGTTCTTTTTATCCTTGACCCAAAATTCCGGGTCTGATTCACCTTACTAGTTTTTCTATGTTAAATATTTAAAAAAAAAAAAAATTTTTTTTGAATATTACCTTTCCACAAAAATTAGAGAATGTTAAGGGACCTTAGAAGAAACTGTACACCAAATTTGGTGACAATTGGAAACCCGAGGCCCGAGGGGCTAATCACTACGAGGAAATGCGTACGCCTTAACTTTTTACTTTCCTACTTGCATCCACTTTTCGTAATTTTACCTTCACTTTTTAGGACCCCCAAGGGGACCTTTCTGCTCGCGTGCGGGCGCTTTTTTTTTCTTACACAATTTTCGGCTACAGCCACTTCTGTAATACAGATTTTGATAAAATTTTATAGCCTCATTAAAATCTGTCTGGCCAATTTTGAGAAATATGAAATTTAACATTAAAACCATCACGAAAGTCGGCAAAATGCTGCCAAGCCAACAATGGTTTCGCACTTTTATCATTCTTTGTGTCGATTCCTGCAGCGTACCTCTTCACTTAAAAGAAAAACGCATTAGACAAAAATTCAAGACCGAAAATTAAGCTTCCGAACGATGTGTTCAAAAGTTTCGTGCTCTGTTCCAGTTGAGAACGACAGCAAGCTGAATAATGTACGACATTCACGCTTAATCTTAGTCTTGTTTTAAATTTCTAATGCAGTTAGTGTTAATTTAAAACGTAAGCGAGCCGATTGTGCACCGTTCCTTAAGCTACCGAAATAAGCTTTTAATCAATGCCATAAGATGCTCCAATCACAACTTCTACCGATTTAAAATCAAAGCTGCACAGTTTGTTTAGAAATGGGCGAGGCTGCGACAATACTGCGAAGAAAGGAGGCGTGGCTTCTAACAATGGTACCAACCTTTGCAAACGAACTCGCTTCATGTTTTTGGATAAATTGAGTGATGTACTCGAGTACATTCGAGAAAGTATGCTTATCTAAGAACATAGATGGCATAGACGAGAAGTAGAGCATACCTTGACGCTTACACGTCATAGAACGTTAAGACTTCTCAGTTCATAGAAGCTTGCACTTAAAGTAGAACGGCTTTTGGAGTTAACGCTTCATCTACCACAAGCCATCTAAGCGCTTAGATGGCTTAGATATCACGTAGAGTGCCTTGCAGGGTTGTTAACGTTAATTTAACGGGTAACGACGTTACGACGTTTTCGTTAACGTTATTTTAACGTTAACGTAAAACGTTAATTTTTTGGCAGCAAGGGAAACGTAACGCGTTTGCGTTAACCGGGTCCCGTAACGTCGTAACGACGTTGACGTTAAAACATCTTTCGCGTGCACCTAGATTTGGGCAGCTGGTCAGCGAATTTTGTAGTTTTCGTGAGATGCAGTACAAGCGCGACGAGCAAACGAAGAAAGCCGAGCGCCTAGTGGTACTAAAACTAAAACTTTGATAATAAAAGTACTTTTTTTATAATATTTCTCATCTTTAAACAGCCCTCTGCTCTTAATTTTCAATACTTTACATTTTTTTAATTATTTTGCATCAACGTCAACGACGTTACGGCGTTTAACGAAACGTAACGCGTTAATTTTGTCACATCTGGTGAAACGTAACGCGTTTACGTTAACTCAAATCTCAAATTAACGAAACGTAACGCGTTAAATTTCATTTTTAACGTTAACAACCCTGGTGCCTTGTGACGTCCAACCCTCATCTACGGCAAGACATCTAAATTTATAGATGGCTTAGATAGTAAGTACAGCGTCTTTCGGCGTCTATACCCCATCTACAGTAAGACATCTAAACGCATAGATTGGTTAGATAGGATGTAGAGCGTCTCCCGGCGTCTACACCCCATCTACAGTTAGACGACGTCTTTTAAACATCTATGTGCAGACGTCTACACAGTTAGACCTGCTAGATGGGCATTAGACCATCTATCGGCATCTATAGATGTCTATTTTCTGTAAGGGTCTCTTCACTGTTGTGTTCAACCCACCTCTAATAACCCTTTTTTGGCGTTTTCATGTGCACTTCAGAAGTGGTTAAATGACATGTGTTTGGATAATTCTAACAATAAGTAAAAGTTGGCAGTGCCGGGGAGTGCCCACGAAGTAGTTTCTATAAGGCGCTTGTGTTGTTCTTGGTTTTGTTATTGTGGTGACTTAAGAACGAAGAGCAACAACACTTAACCATCCAGTTTTGAAAACTTCCCCATCTTCTAATTTTCAACGCTCAATCTACGACTGTAAGTTAACACTTGAGGGGCCGATAAACGCGTTAGCGTTAGAATTTTGCGCTTTGTACGTTTGTTTCATTTTTGTGCCTATATCCACTTTATTTTATTTGTTTGTAATACGAACATAGCATGAATTAAAGTTGTAGATACGTCTCACCAAACTAACCAACCAGTTCTTCCTTTCTAGTACAGTTTTTGTTCTTTCTGTTGCTTTCATCACTTTACCATTTCTTTTGTTTTCGAAATGTGCGGCTGCGCGTGGCATTTGAGGAATTTTCCAAAATGGAGCGTAGTTTTGAAGCGGTAAAGCTATCATTGCTCCCACCGGTGCAATACAATATTTACATCTCGAAATCCTTATTGTATTGGATTGAAAAAAGTTTATCGCATCCGAAAGTATGCAGGGGTCCGTAAATCATTTCTAAACTGCCTTGAACGTTATTTTAAGAGTTAAGGTAAGGCTTGGGTGAAACTGGAAAAGTCGGGTGAAAAACAGAGTTTTTTTAGTTTTAAATCTTCATGCTAGTGAAATCAAGAAAAAGCTCTCTATATTTTTCTAAGTTAGTCCGTTGCGGATCTTATAACATTTGATTAATCAACAGTTAGACATAACACCGTGCGCGAGAACTATTTTGAAGTTATAAATGTTTTATGAAATTTCAAAATAGCTCTTGCGCACAGTGTTATGTCCAACAGTAGACCTATTATATGTTAAGAGGACCGCGACAAACTAACTTACAATAATATAGAGAGAGCTTTTTCTTGATTCCACCCGCATGAAGATTAAAAACTAAAAAAAACACCGTTTTTGGCCAGACGTTTCCAGTTTCACCCAACCCTTACCTTAAGGTTATAACTTTTAAATTTTACTTTAGTCATTAGGAAATAAGTTAGTTACACGACTTGTCCAACTTTTGATTTTGATTGTTTCAGTAAATGGTCGGTAAAAGCCACCCGACCGTGTTTAACCTCGTCAAGGAATTCCAGAAGGAGGGCGACGTCCGGGTCATGATAGCTGAGCTAGATGTTGGGAGGACCATCAGGCAGCGTCAGAGGCAACAATATTGCCGGATCAACAAGAACCTACGGAACCTCACATCACGCTACGAGCGATACAAGGAAGAGGATCGCGTCGTTGATTTTGCTCGGGCATGTGGGCACAACATCTGCACTGAATAAACAAAAATGTTACATGTTATCTGAGTACTAATCGTAACTGGGGGCAAAGAAACCGAGAACAAAAAATCTAGGGACGAATAGTTGAGGACGAATCGTCCGAGAGGTGAATAACCGAAGTACGAATCAGCCTGTCCCCCAATATTTCAAAATCGATTACTTTAACTTTTAATTTTACATGTGTTTTGTGACGTTGAGTAACTAACATTCGTACGTGTTATGATAAGTTACGGAGCCCTGAAAGTGTCCCGAATGAGCAGTAGTGTACCACCACAATTTTAAGTCTCTAGTGAGCCCACTCACAATCTCTGTACTTGGACAGTGCGTCACCCCTTGAGACACAAGTAGCCACCCACCCGTGCCCGATAACCGTGGTCCTTATAAACGTTCATCACGGCCACCTCACGCCACTGCTTGTGTTGACGTTGAAGATGCGCTGCCTGCTCGTGTGCCTCCTGTGCCTGCAGGGCCTGCAGAGCATCCTGTGTGCGGCCGCGAGAGAAGACGTAGACCTGCTGCAGGATCTGCGCGGAGCACTCGCTTCATCACTGCCCCGCAAGTCGCCTCCGAGGACACGGCATGTCTCGGCGACCGATCCCAACGAGGTAGGAAAGAACTGGCACAAAAAACACGATTACAACGGAGGTAGTTTTTAGTAAATTTTGACAGACAACAAAGGTACTTTCTATTTCTAGAGAAGTTAATGAAATTTGAATGAAAAATACTACAGAAAATAATATTTTTTTTGGAGATATGTCTGCTATAATTCTGTCGGATTAAATTTGAGTTTGCATCCACAAGTTTCCATGGAAATGACGACCCGAGCAACAGGCCGAGTCGAGCCAGGGAAATTTCAGCCAATCACAAATTTCCGCGGGGAAGTTTGACCAATAAAAACGATCGCCTGTTGCTTTGTACAACCCTATCCAAAAATTATATGAGCCTTGCGTCGATACCCTCTGCTTTCAGTGGTGGCGTTTTAGTCGACGATAGGCATTGTTACCGAAGACTGTACTTCTGACTTCCAAATCGCATTTAAAAGAAGGCGCGGCGGCTAACAATGCTGGCAACCTATCGCCCTTTGAAGCTGGGGTGCGGCTCGCAGGAACATTTAAATGAATACTATGATTTATAATCACAACTGTCGATCCGCCTTTTAATAATATTATTTCATAGTAAGCAAAAAGTATGCGAAGTCAATTCGTACAACCGATCTATAACTAAAAATAAATATCATATCATTTATTAGCTACGACAACATCTAATATTGAAAATAATATTTAGACTATTCCGACGTAAAAATTAAAATCAATAGGGTCATCAACGCGTTAGCGTTAAAATTTGTGGTAAATATTCCTATGCCATTGCACAGAAAGGATCTGGTTTATGGGCCAGTACTTGAATACTTTACCTGTGAGTGGTTTTCTTGTGCAACCAGGAACAACACAGTTAGTATACCCCATATTGTAGTTAATTGCCTGTATTTACGTGTGGTTCAAATCAGGGTTAATTAATAAGGCCAATAAATTTGACTCCAAGCTCAATGAAAATGGCGTCGATGGTCTGCCCTTTCATGTGTGTTTGCAATGAAAGTCTTTATAACCGAGCGAGTGTGGTGGCTAGTGGCAGTTACCCCTTTAAGACACCATAAAAAAATATCCTTTTCCTACTTTTTACACCAACCCGTATTTCTTTGTTACCCTCTTTCACCCCTAAGGGTTGGTTGCCAGGATTTGAACCAGGCGTTTCCTTGTCCAGGAGTGACCCCTAAGGTACCTTGAACTATGCAGACCTCTGGCTCACCTCCTTCCTCTTACACGGACGACAGACAGACGGACACTTGAGCGATTGCATAAGCCCGCTTTAATGCTTTCTTAAAAGCAGAAGGGCGGGCTGAAAAAAAAACCTGTTATGTTAAAGTTTTAAACTCATTAAAAATCAGTATTTTACCAGGCCAGTTTTTTGTTTTATACTCAATAACAGCTGAAAACCGATTATTTCTGCAAGAGGCAGAAAAAAAATGAGTAAGTTCTCGGGCCAAGTTCATTCCCAGCCAGAAACATCGTATATATATTCGTCGAATCGACATCGATTCGTCGAAAAATTCATCGTTTTGACGTATTTTTGTCCCTCTGGTTCGATCAACGACATCGAAATGGCGGCGCTACGACATGTCATTTCTGGCTGGGTTGTACTTGATCTTTGATTTTTCAAGTGTGCGTGTGTCTTAATTTAAGTGATTTGTACTTGAGAAATAAATGATCACGTACAAGTAGTCACACCGATACCCCACTGGCCCTTCGATGTCATTTGTTATGGGACAATCAGTCGTACTCCGGAAACCCAAAAATCGTGCATTATCATCCTTTTAAGAGTAGTACCATAGTGTCCTTCAACAGGTTTAGGTGAAGGACCAAGGTGTACTGCAGTTGAGAGTGTAGCACTGGACGTGTTCTACAGTTTAAAGTGTAGGATACCCCTTGTACTACACTTATAACTGTAGTAGAATGCTGTCCTACACTTTTAGCTCAGGACACGTGCTGTCCTACACTTGAAACTGCAGTGCACATTGGTCCTACACTTAAAAACGCAGGACACCACTGCAGGGAATTATTTCAATCATCGTTTGGATGAAAATTGTGTGTCAGAAACACAAAAGTTCCAAAAACATCGTTTTAAGCTTTATTTTGCGAGAAACAAGGAATTTTTTTTAAAAAGAAGGTTTCTATTGTTCTTTACTCGTCTCTTTACAACTTTTTTTTACTTTCACTTCAGAAATACTGTTTTCATTGGATCTCTGATGTTAGGAATATCGGCTTCTTTACCTAATGGCAACATCAACTTTGAGATAATTGGCTAATTAGCGAAGCCCATTACTCCAGTGATGACCAAAAAGTTGCGCGTCTGTCTGTCTGTGTGTCTGTTTGTCTGTCATCGCGATAATTCGAGAACTGTTTAAACTAGGAGTCTCCAATCTTTATTGATACCTTGTATCATAAAAAGCAAGAACTAAATTGATTTTGAGCCCCCTAGCTCAAAAAATGGCTGAGTAATTACGGGCTATTCAAAAAACATTTGAAAAATACTGATAATTTTTAAATAATTTGTATGGTTTTCTACACACGATTTACACACGGAAACCACCCAGAAACATTTGAATGTTTTTTCTCAGATATTTGACGGTCTCTGGTGATTCAGTCACATGCCCGACTCGGGTGTCAGCGCCTAGGCCAGGGGTCTCAGACTGGGCGATCTGAGCGGGCCGCACGAAGCTGAGTGAGAGAGATAGATGCGCTGTAGGAGAGGGGGCAGACTGGACGTCCACCTACCGCCTGCTGAACGCGAGCCGCAAGCGAGCATCTGAGCGCGTATGCGTGCGAAAACGACAGGTGTGAGTGAGTTGCTCTAACTGCGCTACTGCTCCATCTCCCGTTCACCTGCCGTTTTCAGATGCATGCTAGCAGCGACCCCCGCTCGCTGCCGGCAAGAGACTACAGAGAGGGGACACGAAGCTCCCCGGCCCGCGGCTGCCGCCTTGCTGCACTGGAATACATCCAGCGGCCTCAATATTCGTCGTACAGTTATCGTTTTGGTACCGAATGGTCCGGAAGGGTTCAACGGATCGAATCGTACTGATATCTAAATCCAAATGCTCACCAGATTTGAACGGCGAGCGCCCGAGTGCGCAGAGCGCCTCTGTAGCCATCCGCCGCGACGATCGGCCGGCGCCTTCTAGCACTGCACGCAGCGTTCCGCTACGCCACGCCACCTCAGCGCGATTTTAGACAGGTCCTGGCCAGACTTTTACAAAGTACTGATGCACAGGTTAGTGCTTAGACACAGAGTTCATCTCAAATTACATGTTTATGTACTGTGGCAATGCGCGGTGAGGTGGCGTGGCGTAGCGGAACGCTGCCTGCCGTGCTAGAAGGCGCCGGTCGATCGTCGCGGCGGATGGCTACAGAGGCGCTCAGCGGACTCGAGCGCTCGCCGTTCAAATCTGGTGAGCATTTTGACTTTGATATCGGTACGATTCGATCCGATGAACCCTTCCGGACCATCCGGTACCAAAACGAGATCTGTGCGATGAATATTGAGGCGGCTAGATGTATTCCAGTGCAGTAAGACAGCAGCAGCGGGCCGGGGAGCTTCGTGTCCCCTCTCTGTAGTCTCTTGCTGCCGGGCTGTGTCGCATGTCGGCGACCTATATCTCCCATTGCGGCCCACAGCGGGCCGCACTGCGGCCTGAGACTCGCCCGAGTGGCCCGCGGGCCGCTTGTCTGAGACCCCTGGTTTAGAGGATAAGCACCCCTTAAATTTGATCCTACTCTCAGAAGTTCCTCCTTAAGAAATCATATAAAATATTTTAATATTCGCAATATTTTCCGAGGCAGAGAGAATCGGTTTAGTTTTTGCTTTTAATGTGCGAAGTTACTCCTAAAATTTTAGGTACACTCTCATTTCCCTATGGACACGCTTACAGAGAATTCTGTGCAAACGTATTATCGAGTAAAAATTATCCATACTATGCATAAAATTGTCCGTATTACGTCCGTAATACGGTGAATTTGATTCATATTACAAATATTTCAGATATGCCTTCATCCGTAAGGTATGAACGAAAGTTCTTTACCCTACGGATGAAGGATCAAATTGTCAGTAATACGGACAATTTTATCCATATTATGGATAATTTGTGATCCATAATACGTTTGTACAAAGTTCTCCAAAACATACGGATAGCCCATCCATAGGGAAATGAGAGTGTTCCCAGTTTAATCCGTTCTTGCGTTGTCGTCATTACAGAGAGAAAAACAAAACTATTGATGCATCACTAGAGTAGTAGCCATCGCTTTTGCTCATCCAAAAACGTGTACCATGCGGACGCTGGTGTGACAGAATGTCACACAGTTTATGCAACCCAAATTTTACCCTTTCAGGGGCATTTTACACTCTCATTTCCCTATGGATGTGCTATCCGTATGTTATGGAGAATTTTGTGCTAACATATTATGGATCACAAATTATCCATAATATGGATAAAATTGTACGTATGACAGAAAATTTGATCCATATTACAGACATGCCCTCCTCCGTAAGGTATAGACCTTTCGTCCATACCCTACGGATGAAGGCATGTCTGTAATATGGATCAAATTGTCTGTCATACGGACAATTTTATCCATATTATGTATAATTTGTGATCCATAATATGTTAGCACAAAATTCACCGTAAGCGTGTCCATAAGGAAATGAGAGTGTAGCGTAAATACCTGATTTGGTTGCGCACACTCTTCTTTCCCTACGGATATGCTATCCGTATGTTATGGAGAATTTTATGCTAACGTATTATGGATCCCAAATTATCCATAATATACATTAAATTGTCCGTATTACAGACAATTTGATCCATATTACAGACATGCCCTCCTCCGTAAGGTATAGACCTTTCGTACATACCTTACGGATGAAGGCAAGGCATGTCTGTAATATGGAGCAAATTGCCTGTAATACGGACAATTTTATTCATATTATGAATAATTTGGGATCCATAATACGTTAGCACAAAATTCTCCGTAAGCGTGTCCATAAGGAAATGAGAGTGCAGTGTGTCACGCAAGTGAAAACCCTTCCACCACCTCACCATGACCATAAATAACCTTGCTCTGGCAGCTTCCACTTATCGACTAGATAACGAGAAACAGTGTTATCGGCACTTACACGAGGCCCAGCCCATTCTAAATTGAAGGCTAAAGTAAAGAAGATATTGGCGGAAAAACATCTAAATTGAGTAAGTAATATTGTCGTGCCATCACTCTCAGACCTGTACTGATTTATTTATTAGTAGCTTATAAAGGTTTTTATGCAGCAGGATTGCTGACAAATTTGTTACTTATTCTGGATATCGTTGTAAGTAGCTCAGTGATAAAAGAAAAAAATTGTCAGTAATTAAAAAAGAAATTATTTCGTATTACTGATGAAAGCAGATGTCAGTCGCTTATAAAGGTTTTTGCGCAGCAGGCATACTGACAAAAGGTGAAAAAAATCAGTAACAGGATGAGAGTGATTATGTCGGGTGAATTGTGCCCTTTTGATCGCTGTCTAGCATGCCACTAACACTCATCGGGTTTGGGCGTGAAATACAAAAATTAGCCCACAAGGCTAAGAAATAGACGGTCCCCCCCATCAGACTACAAAGTGCGGGTTGCAACCCGCGCAGTCTTCAGCGCTCCGGTAGCCTGGCGTGGCGGCGCAGTGCTGCCTGTGGCCTCCTTCCCCCGCCCCCCTCCTCATCCCTGCCGCCTGCAGCTCGCTTCGCCTTCGCCAGCCAGCAGACACACACTCGAGGGCCCACTCTGTGCTACGTAGAGAGTGAGGAGGACGAGGGGACTTTGCTCTCTGGTAGAGACAGTCTCTAGAGGACTGTCCACAAGACACTCCAAAGGGGTGAGGGTGATTACGCCTGCCAACTAAGCCTTAATGCAAGCGTGTAAAGCTGGTGCCTACAAACCTGTTGAGTGTTAGTTGCATATGCTACACGGCGATCAAAAGGGCATAACCTGTCCGACGTAAGGGCACGAAAATATTAATCAATTTGGATACTATGGAAACTGCTGGTTGTGAGGCGTTACTAGCCCGGTCATATGACTATAAAGACTTCTTACAGCTTAACTTAATGGCCCAGTTTACTTTAAGCGTACTTTTCGTGCAGTTTTGATAAACCAGCACGGGTTTAACTGCCATCAAAGCATACACAACGAAGCTATAGGACGCAACATTCTGGGATTCGTCGGGAAACACAGCCCGTATTGCTAGAGATACGTGCAATGCCTACCTGCACCTGCCCTGCACTCGATAATAGACCCAAAGAGTCATCTCCGTGTTTACCAAGCACATGATGAGGTTTCTTGGTTAGGAATGAATATACTGTACCCCTCAGTCACACATTCGATAGTTCAGTGCGGTCAAAAGTCTAAGATAAACGACACACTTTGACCAGCAGAACACTAGGAGTTGACATAAAGTTATCGTTGCTGCTAGGGCAATCAGACAGCCGGACGGTGGGACCAGGTCTTGGCTGATACAAAACCATCTGGTTTGATGTCGTCGACGAGAGCTGCGTCTGTTTGCGGACGCCTCGGCCGGCGCTCTCATTATCGCACCCATGCGTAAGCTTGTGCGCGCTTGTGCGATTATTTAAATTCATTGGTAATTGACAATTGTTGGAAATAATCGAGATCGGGTCGATTCTAGTTACCAGTAATTGACAATCGATCACCCGTTCGATTAATTGACAACCCAGATGAACCGAAAGCAACCAATTAATTGACAGACTCAAATAATTTATTTCTATATCGATTAATTGTACCGCCAATTTGACAATTAAACGATTGAAGTTACAATTTTGCGATTAAAATGCGCGTTCGGACGCTTCGGCAAGGGCAAAGCCAGCCAGCAACCAGTAAGACGGCTGACCATCTCTTTCCCCCTCCTACCAGCCTGCTGCCTGCCTCGACAGCCGGAATCCGAACCATTTTTGTAAGGAATATTTTATTCCATCTTGTGATGACACAATTTGTCTTTAGAATGACACGTTTTTGCCCATAGATCTATTGTCACCGGCTATAGTCAAACATGCTGCTAGTTTCAGGTACAAATAAATGTTCTATCAAATTTACAGTGTAAACAAAGTTCTAGATTTTGAAAAGTTCACAAGTTATAGATCTAAAATTGTATTTAAAGTTCCAGGATTCTCTTAAATCGTGAATAACATTTCAAACACTTATGCCAAAATGGCAATTAAGCTATTAGCCCCCAGGAAGAACATTAAAGTTCATTTATGCCAAAATACAACCATTTTGATTCCAAATATCTTCAGGTGTACGACATTTTCGCTTTTAAAAAGATGGGCCGAAATATAATGGTTAGCGTTGCACACCTTCACGGATCTTGTTGCTCGTTTAATCGTAGTCTCCCCCTCCCCCCAATACCAGCCCTTCAAAATATATATATGTTTGTTTCGTGGCAGCATGAACATTTAGATTGTTATCATTTTGCGTAAATATGTCCACAGAATGCGTACAAATTTCATGCGTGACACAATGCAAATATTTGTACTGAGCATTTTCTACAAATTTGTACATTTAAGCAGTATAATTTTTTTAAACTCATATTTCACACATAACTCTGTACACATTTTGAGCACACAAACGCACAATTTTTCTGCACAAACATTTATGCACAAAAACTGGACATATACATTAATCGCGATATCTCACGAAACACTGCTTCGCTGAGACTCGCCTTGGCGCACATAAAGCAGGCCTGCGGCGCTGACACCTGAGGCGAGTTCATGGGAGGGCTTTTCGGGAACAAGGCCTTCCGGCCCCAAAATTTGGCACACTCACAACATTTGTCGGGGACTTATTACTCTAAAATTAGGGAAATAAAATTTCTACTCTTCGATAAAGGTTTTCATTGAAAGTACGCATTTTGACAGGTTGTTATGTGAAAATCAACGTTTTAGTGATACAAGATAATCTAGGGACCCTTGAGCCCAAAGAAGGGTGTGGTTCGACGTCAACTGTGTGGTTTAAGTATTACTTCCTGTAAAATTTTTCAATATAAGGCCTTTTTTACGATCATAAATAGACCATTTGGCCATTTTCACCTTATTTTCGTCAAGAAATGCCTCCTAGCACCCAAACGGTACGAGATAGAGCAAAACGGACGAAATTGTCGATCGCGGCGTTTTACTTCAGCAAGTTACACCTTAGAAAACCACGTAAAAAATATATATGTAGCAACCTGTGGCTTTTGATTTTTTATAAATTCAATTCTTGAGCAAGAATGCTCATCTTCGAACTCGATGTGTCTTTTTTTTCAATGCAAAACGACCCTGAAATTCCCAAATCGCTATCTCAATTCCTTCTCGAGTTATCGTGCGGGCAGACAAACAAACAAACACACAAACAGAAAGCCTTTTCGGTCAGTGGAGCCATGGGCTTCACTGATCACTCAGCCAAAGAGGGGTCAGTTTTAGGTGGGATAGATGAAATATATCTATTATTAACTGTCATTTAAATTTTCTGTTAATTTGAGATTCATTTGAAAAGTATGGAAAGCAAACGACTTACCGGTGTAAATAATGGCTAACTTTCACCTTTCATCACAGGACACCTGGCCGAAGGGAGTACTCATAGGAGCTGGGCTATCAGCTTTTCAAGCCGAAGGCGCATGGGACGAAGATGGTAAGCAAATTTCGACAAAATTTTGTATACACGCAAAAAAATTATTTGCTAATGTAGCTTGTGCTTAGCTCGCACAGCTAATCTATGAGCTGGATTCGTGGCTGCTAATCGTTTCTGCTCTTGATGTTTTACTCTTCGCTCTATAGAGCAGGTCATCGCTATTGGAGAAAGTCGACCTTTTTCTGTGCCCGCATTAGCACATTGGCTCCGAGAGCTAAAAGAGATTTAGCAGCAGTAGAAGACATGTCTCACGACTTTCTTTACTCTCTCAGAAGTGATCAAACTGTCGGAATGTCAAACCGAGTATGATATGTTTAGTTTTAGAGTTGCGGAACTCGTTTTACGGAAGTTTCGTGAGTGTCCGGTAAACAGAAACGTTGTTTACGTACGTTAGTTCTGTGGCAACTGGGTGGACTGTCGTAAGTGTCTTTTGACTCAGTTTTGGGACATGCAAACGTATCACTAAGAGGTAAAAGGTTTCAAACTCTCTCAATTGGAGGGAAAGACCTTTAAAAATAACAGTTAGTTATTACAATTACAAGACAGATGTACGCCAGACCACGTCAACCGAGGGTTCGCGATATCTCACGAAACACTGTTACGCTGCGACGCGCCTAGCATACATCTACCTTAGCCTGCGGCGCTGACACCCGAGTCGAGAACTGGAAAAGTGTACACGAAGATACAGGCCTACGGCCAGCCGCTTTCGTGTAGCATGCAGGGTTGTAATTTTATCGCTCAATTTCGTCAAAAATAACCTCTAGCGCCTCAACTGTTTGAGCTAGAGCAAAACGGACAAAATTTTCGTATTCCAGTTTGTACTTTAATAAGTTACCCCTTGGGTAACAACCAAAAAAAAAATAAATAACAAAACATATTAAGAATGTATTTTTTGGAGCCTGTTGTTTTTGATATTTAAGAATCCAATTTTCGAGATATAATGCTTATCTTCGAACTCGATCTGTCTTTATATGGTGCAAAGCGACCCCGAAAATATCAAGTCGCTAGCTCAATTCGTTCTAGAGTTATCGTGCGGACATACGCACAGGCAGATAGACAGAACAAGTTTTTTGCAACCAGACGGAGTAATAGTCTTCGCTAATCTCTCAGCCAATAATATTTGACAATCGAAGTTTTACAACCTGATATCACTTACGTTATTCTAGTGCAAATTATAAATTGTGGCAGAGTGTCGTAAGTTAACTTGCGACAAACTTACCTCGAAATAGGTAACAAGAAATATTTCTACGCAACTAATTCATAGGCAAACATTGCCATGATCATAAATGCCTTTCTAAAGTAAAGCTGCAAGCATGGGAGAAGGGAGCCCTGGAGAAGGAGCACAAACGGGGTAAAGGGGTACTACCGAGTACTACCCAGGGGTCTCAGACACGCGGGCCGCGAGCCACTCGGGCAAGTCTCGGGCCGCAAGCGGGGCGCAATGGGAGATATAGGCGGGCCGCTCCGGGCCGGCCGACAAGCGACACAGCCCGGCAGCGAGTGGGGATCGCTGCTAGCATGCATCCGAAAACGGCAGGTGGACGGGAGATGGAGCAGTAGCGCAGTTAGAGCATCTCACTCACATCTGTCGTTTTCGTACGCATATGCGCTCAGATGCTCGCTTGCGGCTCGCGTTCAGCAGGCGGTAGGTGGACGTCCAGCCCGCCTCCTCTCCTACAGCATGAGAGAAGGGCTTAATGCAGAGGCAACGAGACACCCACTGGATACCACCACGCCCAATATTATACCAGTTTTCTCCGAAACGCGGGTACTTACCGTGTCGCGGGAAGTCTCGGCGGCTCTACGACCCCCCAAAATTTGAGTCACCTCCGACACACCAAAGCTGGTAAGAAAGGCGGAAACCGCGCCGCCACCCTGATTCGGCCACCTGCCGCCGCACGTTCCCGTAACCGCCCTTACAGAATAGTCGCTTTAAACGCGTCATTACTCAGAAAACATGTTGGTTTCTTCAAACTTGTGGATTTTAAAGATATTCTTTGTATTTTGAGCTACTTCTCTACTCAAGGTGTTCATTTCTCAGTTATAACTGGACATCCTAACCTTAACTGGTCAAATATGTTAATTTTCTATGAAACGCATAATCAACGCGTAAAATCACGTCAAACTATCATCAAAAATTCAAGAACCCGCTACTTGGAAGGTAACGACACGATTTTCTGTGTAATAACTCGTTTAAAGCGACTATTCTGTAAAGGCGGTTACAGGAACGTTGTAGAAGGCCTCGTGGCGCGCGGCGGCAGGTGGCCGAATTAGGGCAGCGGCGCGGTTTTCGCCTTTCTTACCAGCTTCGGTGTGTCGGAGGTGACTCAAATTTTGAGAGGTCGTAGTAGAGGGGACCTTTCTTGAGCCGCCGAGACTTCCCGCGACACGGTAAGTACCCGCGTTTCGGAGAAAACTGGTATAATATTGGGCGCGCTGGTGTCCAGCGGGCGTCTCGTTGCCTCTCCATTAAGCCCTTCTCTCATGCCCACAGCGCATCTATCTCTCTCACTCAGCTCCGTGCGGCCCGCTCAGATCGCCTAGTCTGAGACCCCTGGGGTACACCGATCACTTTCTTGGCGCCTCACGGCCTCAAATGAATGTGGACGGGGCTGCGAATGAGAAAACGGCGGGATCACGAAGCTGAAGCTCGACGCGCATACCAAAATCGTTGAGGTCGGCTCAATTATAACGGAGCGTCATAGCGCCTCAGGCCGCCAAAGAGCCGCGGTGGGACCGGCGGCTCGCCTGCCCGCCAGAGGCGGTGCACAGTGGGCCGGGGAGACCCGAAAACGACAAATAATTCAACGGTACAAAATAAGCCAATCATCATATGTTACCTACGGAACAAATGAACCTTTATCTTTCATTTACAAGCTTTACTTTCGAGGGAAACGCCCTTTTCAAAAAGAGAACTCAATGTTTCCATGACTCTGCAAGTGACTTCTCCGCGGTCTGGATGAAGTGTCTTGAAACAGACTTTTAATCCGTGAGCCAGCAGGAGCCAACGAGATACTTGGCACACACCTCCCCTGAAGAATAAAGAACACATTCCAACAGAGTTTAGCTGCTACCACCCGTGACCCCGAAAATGCGATTGATTTTAAGAGGTGGATGCACGGCTCCGCACGCGCCCTCCGCTCGCCGACTAACCTCTTTTTTTGACGCTCGGGACTGCAGTGTGCGGCAGGGAAGGCTTCCCTGTGCTCCAAATATCATAATTAAGCCTTTATTCCATTTCAGCCACCTCGGATATATTTCAGAAAACCAAAAATAGTAGTCGATAGCCCCTGAACAACGATCCGGGTATTTAGGAAAATGGACCTTTCGGTAGTCGTAACAGAGTGGCTCAATTTAACAAAAATATAAGATTTTGAACTGGCATGGTGAGGGAGAGTCATTAGAAACTCAGTAAATCAGGAAAATGTCCTCAAAAGTGCTCGGGGTCCCAGAATTTCGCAGGGCGTCATCGGGGACCCCAGGAGGTTCACGCCCACAGGACAGGTCTATGGGGTGGAAAGGACATCGGAAATGGAATCAGCATCCTCAAAAACTTATGGTTTCACATTTTGGGCTCTCGGTTCTTCTCCTATGATTTATTTGTCGCTTTCTGGCCCACTGTGCGGCGGCCCGGGCGGGCGGCGCCCTGGCTGCCAGCTCTGCGCGCGGCGGCTGCCCGCTTCCCGGAGCGCATGGGCCGTGTCCGAGCGGAGTGGGGCCAGGCGTCTGCGCATGTCTGATAGCGAAGGGACAGGCGAAGGGCGAAGGCACCCTTTTGTTATTACAAGTTCGTTCTGTGTATTGCAGGTAAAGGAGAGAGTTCTATGGACTGGATTGAGCACCTGCTTGGAGACAAGCTGTTCCCAAACAACACAGACGTAGCTGCTGATCATTATCACAGATTTCGCGAAGATCTCGATCTAGCAAAAAAATTAAAGGTAGGCCAAGGAACGATGTAATACCGGGTGCCCGGGAGAATATGCGGCAGCTCGATGGGTTGCCTACGCAATTGCGGGCAGGAGCGGTGGGCGAGGGGAGAGTGGAAGAGGTGGTGAGAGGCGGCCGGTTGCCTCTCGCCACCTTCTCCGCTGCTCCGTGTGTAGGCAACCCACCGAGCTACCGCTGCCGCGTATTCTCCGAGATACCCGACGAGCATGAAAAGAGTGTTGTGGGCCTCTAAAGTTTACGGTCCACTGTTGACAGCAGCCACTACAGGGTGTACGGAAAGTAAAGGTTCATGAAGTCGTGGTTAACTTTTCACTTAAATTTTGATGGGATGCCCCTGTTGCTTGAGTCCGACGTTATTAAGGCGTAAGTTTGTCGTTTCATGACGACATATTCAACGCAAACTGAAGACAGACGCATGGCAAAACCTTTGTCATGAAAATGACAACGCAACGACAGACAGGGACAGTCGAAGGTCTCACTGATTTGGCGTACAGCAGTCGTTTGGTAGTTGTGAAATCTGATCCTTTTAACGACAAACGCACGACAAACACACGCTCGACTCTCGATCCTCCTCCTCGACAGTTGAAACCTAAAAACACGAAGTTGTACGTAGCTTTACAATACTTATCCGTATAAACCCGTACTTCCAGGCTGCTCGGTATAGACACGTAGTTCAGCGGGTCCACGTACAACGTCGTAAGTGCCTGAAAATCACGTCTGAGATATAGCGCTTCAAATAAGTTTTGGATTTACATTGCGCCTTATGGGTGGCTGGATTTTTAGACCAGAATATTTTTTGAACTATTTGAAATATCGAAATACGGTTTACACTGATCGATAGCACCGCGTTTTCTCGATACGGCGCACTTCATAACTCGAAACTTTCAAAAAACATAGCAAAGACGCTATACGGCGGCCTGCTGAACTCCGTGTTTGTACCGAGCCCCCGGGAACTGTTTGTTTATACGGAGCGGCCACGAACTCCGTGTGTACATCTTTCAATTGTCGTTCTGTCAGTTCTATCCGAGGGGGCAATAACTCCCTTTTGAAGTGTACACATGATTCCCGAAATACTTGATTCCCAGTGATTCCCGGTGATTCCCGCCAGCTAATAGTAATTTCTCTGGTTTTCTAGTGGTAGAAAACGCTTATTTTGACCAATTTGTACCGGTTCTGCTAGTTTCCTGCTCAGTTTAAACGATTTCTGTTGATTTCGATCAATTTTTATCGTGATGATTCCCAGGCAGGTGTACACATGATTCCCGGAGTTCTTGCCCCCTCGGTTCTATCTGCTGACACATTTAACTTGATTAGTTTAGTTTAGACTATGTTTTAGTATTAAATAAATACTCTGCTAAAAAAGAAAAAAGGGCTTTGTTTCTGCGAGCTCCAGCTGTCACTGAGATGTTTACGTTGCAGTTCACTTCGCACCGTTTCTCCATATCCTGGTCTCGTGTCCTTCCGACTGGCGGTGTCGATAATATCAACCAGAAGGGTGTTCAGTTTTACAAGGATTATATTGATAAAGTCATTGAAAACGGCATGGAGCCAATGGTAAGTCTTACGTCGGATGTTTTATTTATGAGTGTAATATTTGAATTTTGAGTCCTAAACTTTGTACCGGGTGTCCGGGAGAATACGCGGCAGCTCGATGGGTTGCCTACGCACTGGTGTGCAGGCAACCCATCGAGCTGCCGCGTGTTCTCCCGGACACCTATTGACAAATACGGGAAAAGGGGGTAATGGTCACGTTGATATCGTTGGTATCGGCACTTCGGTGACCCGGGTAAAAACGCACAAGGTTGGTCGCAGAGGAGGAGACATACTCGCATTTGGAGAATTGGAGGCGAGGTTGGAGGAGCTCTCGTGGAAACCAAGCACTGACTTGGACAGATGATAAAATTTGCCGCGAATTGGCCCTCGATTTGCCGTAGGCGTTTCATTTTCTAGGAGTGAACCTTCAGATACCCTGAATATTTGAAGTCTCTAGCGCATCTCCTTCTCGTGGAACAGGCAGATGGACAGACACACAGGCACGAGGTCGTTTGAATAAGCCCACTGAATACCTTTTTCAAAGCAGAAGGGCGGGCTGGAAACAACATTGACTGTTTTCTCACAGTCGTCGTATCAGCTCAAAAATGATCGTTATTTTAACAACCACTTTTAACTGTGCACTTATTACGAGAATGTCCCAGGTTGCCAACACGCGCACCCTCAGTTTAACAAGTGCATTTTGATATCCAGGTTACAATGCTTCATTTTGATCAGCCCATTGCAGTGGAGAATGCCACTGGAGGGTGGGGCTATCCTGCTATGGTTGATAAATACGTTGAGTATGCCGACTTCTTGTTTGAAACTTTCGGAGACAAGGTACGTAAGAATACGGTATTGAAATTTGTTAGCGATGATGTTGTCAAGCTGCACTGGAGAAAGGTAGGAATTGTACGAATCACAACTCTTCTGTGCTGTGTGGAGGGCTTTCGTAATTGGTGCCATTAAATCGAGGGGTCAACGAGTCAAACTTGCGAGGAACAGCAGTACACTCGGAGTATACCTTCAGTACACGCGGAGTTCTTGAAGTACACCCGGAACTTCCAGAGCAAAGTAACTCAACCTGTTCCTGTCCGGAGCAGCCCCTTATTAGGATTAATGAGACTTACACTCGCTCCCTTCCTAAAGTGTGTCAGTTTTAATTTATATATTTTGTAAAAAGGCTTGTCGCTTACCAGTCCGAGTGGCCCGCGCGGCCGAGTTCAACATAAATATTCATCGTTTTAGAGGTGGGAGAATGGTATGGTTTGCTCAAATTGATAGTACTTGGTATGTACACATAAATTCGCGTCAGCCCAAGTATCTTCCTTTTTCTGAAGGCCCTGAGAGACACGTTTCAAACGTTGATTCGATCTGATATCATGTCAGGTTAAAGCGCGGGGAAGGGTCGAGTTTTACGAGCAGCTTCGATTAAATGATGGATGAAAGTGTTTTAGGGCTCTTCATTACTATGGTTAGTGACGCAACATTGCAAAGGTCTGCTTAGAACCCATACCTGGTCATCCAGGACAGTCCAGGATCATATTTCGATACCTTCCTGCGAGAAAGGCTTGGCCGAGCGTCCGCTGCTGAAAACGGCTTGGCTGGCTTGTCGATTAAGTCATAAATACTTTTACATAATCATTTTACACTGTTCAAATGTGCTGTTTCATTACGCAGTAAACATTAGTTTTAATAAATTTGTCATGAAATTCAATGACACTATTCATTTGAGAACATTGTCATTTAATTTATCGGCAATTTCATTACACGCCATTGAAATTTCATTACACGCCCATTTCTAGTGCATGCTATGACATTTTCATTACAATGTTATTAAATTTTAATAACATGTTTATGAAAGAGTTGGGAAACTGTGTCCGGCCAGCGGCGGCATAAGACCACGTTTCAGCTCGGCCACTCTCAGGTAGTCCTCGTGGCCGAGTGGTCAAAGGGGAGGAGTTCCCACCCCCCAAGGGTTCCGGGTTCAACTCCCGATAAGGAGCGGAAACTTGTATACTTACGCCCTTTAAAATTTGTTAGTGGGTTGAGGAGTTAAATACATGAGAGTTAGAGCCAAACAAATTTCTTTTAGAAAGTCATCATTTTTTTAATGACATGTGGGATGAAATTTCATTACCCAATTATAAAGAAAATTTAATAAAAAATGAAAATGTTAAAAATGTAATGAAATGTTTTTAACAGTGCAGGCATTTCAGGTAGTCGAGAATATGACAGGTGCACTCGCGTTTGACGCTTAATCTTCTTAAAACCTTCTGCTGAGTGTGCTGCTGGTCGGTTTCCTAATAATAAGTTTTATTTGATCCGAATTAGGTCCTCATACACCCTATCAGGCAATAATTCAAATACCGCGTTGACTGGGGACCAAAATCTTGTTTGCTTTCTGAGCCGACTACTATCGGTCTACAAGACGGCAAAATCATACTTCCTGATCGAAAGCTGATCAGAAGTAGGTTCATATGTCTTTTTTTCGGATCGAAATCACGACCAAACTCGAAACTGACATAACGCCGCAACGAGTGTAGTTACCGACACTAAAAATAATTGCGATATGTTACGGAAGAACTAACCTTTAATTCTCTTCCTATAGTTTTGTTCCAAAACCTGTGTGCTTGAGCATAGGACGGGAATACAAAAGTCTGATCTGAAATAAAGTGCAGTCGCTCCACACCCATGGTGTGGGGAGTACATCCATAGTAGTACATCCGGGGTACACCCGAAATACACGCGGGGAGTATATCCGGCGAGTTCACCCGGAGCCCGGAGTACTGTCAGCCCGGGACGCAAAAGCTCAGTAGTTGTTGACCTCTCGCTTTAAGGCCTTACAGCACAGTTGAGCCCCAAGTTTAAAACATGTTGTTTCTGGTTATTTTTATGAGTCAAAACGATGCAGGTGATGAAAACTAGGTAAAAATTATGTAGGAAGGTTCTTTTTAAAACAAGTCAAACCAAAAATAAGTTCCGGAAACTTTGGGTTTGTAAAGGAATGACACTTTTCACACTTCAGTCATTTTGTCCCAATTATCACTTATCGCGCATGATTTCAGAAGCTAGGATTTAATGATAAAACCTCTCTGTAACTCCTAAAATATTTTGAGGGTATGTCATTATAGGCTGAACCAATGGAAACAGCAGAAAATTATTATTTAGAACAAGAAAATAATTTTGGAGCATATTGTAGACATTCGAACTTTTTTGGTAATACTTGTTGACAACTAACATTTATCACATTTAAAGGGCTCTTAATCCTACATTTATTTCCTAGTGAAACAAACGTTCTGTTGGCTATGGTCCATTTCTTAATTCACCAGGTCATCTAGTTGTATTTTCTTGTTGGATGAGCCTGACAAAAACTGCCTTTGACATTGGATTTTGCTGTCTAGGTGAAGTACTGGAATACTATTAATGAACCGAACATGTACTGCAACTATTTCGGACAAATAATGAACTCCATTGATATGGGCCAAAAAGGACAAATGGACCTTTACCCATGCCTGCACCATATCGTTCTAGCACACATGAAGACTTACCATCTGTATAGAAAAAAGTACCAGTCAAAACAAAAAGGTATGTGCTCTTGGACTTGATTTGATTGATTGCTTGCGCAGTGACTGCTCGTTGCGCCACCGCATCGTTTCAGACAGTAGATGGATCCGAGAGGGCTGTTGTAGCAACATGAGATTTACTATATTAGGAGTTGGGTGATTCCGCAAATGAGTTGCATGTCGGTGTCTGTGATTACAACCAAGTTGTATTCCTCCCAATCGTCACGGAAGCTAACAAGCAGGCCCGCCCTTCTGCCAAACGGAGTTGCCAGCTCCGCTTCGCTCTGCCGGCAACTCCGTTCGGCAGGGGCCGGGCCTCCTTGGCCTGCCGGCGGCGGTGGTCGGGCCTGCGGCCGCGGCCCGACCATTTCAGTTGCGCAATTTGCTGAAGATCATAATCAAAAAATGTAGCGGGCCTCCGGCCCGTCATCCTTAAAATTTTCCCCTCACACATGAGAAAGCAATGTAACGGTGAAGCACCGTGACTACAACCCACCTCTCTGCTTAGGAAAATTTTCGCTCCGATTTTTCGATTTGAGGCCTTCCTCTACAACTTTATGTTCACTGCAGCTATTTTTACCTCACTTTCATTGTGTGATCCTTAGATACCCCCATTCACACCCTTAGTAGTGGCTGCTAGGATTTGCCGTATGCGTTTTGTTTTCTAGAAATGAACCTTACGGGGGCAGACCTGTGAAATGTGAGGGTTTGCAATAATCGTCACTACATAAAAACCACACTCCCCATCGATTTAGGATTAAAGGTGTATTAAGAGCATAAATGGACGCAAATTTTGCCGTTGACGACAGTTTGCACACTCTCCAGGAACATGCCAATCTTCGCCTTTAACTGGAACGGTGCAGTCCCTCTCGGTGAGCACGATTGCAGCGCAACGGACGGATGGGTCTGCGATGGTCAAAAAAATTGCTAGTTACTCTTAAAAGATGCCCCTAGTGGTTGACCTGGGGGTTTTGCAAATTTCGAAATGTAAGTGCTGAAAAAAAATCACAATGGACAAAACAA